AATAAATCTTCTTAAGATCAATCTTATACAGCATTTACTTCCTTTTGCATCTAAGATGAATTCATTATTAACGAATGTTCTGTAACAGGCACATTTTATTTATTTGTTTGCAAAGCTGTCTCTGCTGAAACACGAATCACAGCTGCCCTTTTCCTCCACTATTAACATAGCAGCTTTGACATTCAACCGAGAATTCTATTTCAGAAATTAGTAACTGGTTGAATAAGTGCAGCTCTATTTTCTTTATGTCCTTTAACTCAGTTTATGGCAAATCTATGACTTAAGCACGATCCACATTTACTTGGCAGAAGGTTGTTTTAAAATGAATGTTGAATGAACTTATTTTCTGCCAAGACTCTCTTCCTCCCTGTCACCCATTCAGCATTCAATGCAGGAGAAGAAAAAGCCACCCATGGAACAATGATTTCCAATGTTTCATCGTACTCTCATTCTTTGAGATGGTAATGGATAGGACTTTAAAAAACTGTATACACAAATGTGTCAGGTACCTACACACTTGTATTAGTTAGCTCAGGCTGCCATAACAAAATGCCATGGACTGGGGTGGCTTAAAACAACAGAAAGTTATTTCCCCAATTCTGGAGGCTGGAAGTCCCAGATGAGGGAGCCAGTATGATTGGGTGCTGGTGAGAGCTCTCTTCTTGGCTTGCAGATGGCTGCATTCTTTCCATGTCCTCGCATGGCCCAGAAATAGAGAGAGAAAGAACTCTTTGGTGTTTCTTTTCATAAGGGCACTAATTCCATCATAAGGCCCCCATCCTTATGACCTTTGTCTAAACCAAAATACTTCCCAAAGGCCCTATTTCCGAATACATACCATTGGAATTTGGCTCTTCAACATATGAATCTATCTTTGTAAAGGAGAGGGAATGCAACACACAGGGTCAGTCCATAGGGTTTCTATATATTCCTCTTGGGTATTCACAGCACATCAGCTTATGAAATGTCCTGAGATTTCTCTGGAGTTTAAGAAAAACTGTTTTCTAAATGTTTCTTAAACTAAAACTCTACTCTCCATCACATATACCCCAATAGTATCCGCTTCTATTGATATCTATGGAAAGTGTTTGTTAGGGTTTGGGACCAGTACACAGTTTGGGAAATGCTATGGTAAAAGCCTCCTTGTAATAATGGGGTGAAGGGTGGAAATTGAGATCAAGCCCTCAAGCATTTTTTAGAAAAATAACCTGAACTGAATGGCATTCTTCTCAAATCACTGGGAAATTGCATGTTTCTTATTTAGGTTTCAATAGCTATAAAACAGACAAAGAAAACTTCATTTTTTGTCATATCCCTTCAGACCTTTCACTTCTCTATACAAGAGTCATTGTCATTTTAAACTTGTCTTTGTTGCTGCTCCACATTCTTCGAGGTCCCTTTCCACACATTCCCTCCACATATGTATAAAATGAGACATTTCTATTGTCTTAGAAGCCATCGAGTTGAAAACTTAGGCATAAAATACCCTATTTTTATTTATTTTATTTAAAAAAAATTTTTAAAGATTTTATTTGTTTGACAGAAAGAGACACAGAGAGAGAACACACGTGGGGGAGCGGGAGAGGGAAAAGCAATAAGCAATTCACCTCAGTCTTACCATAATAACATTTTAAAGATAATTTCAGGATCTGTTCCATTAGGCAAAAACACACAAAAAAATTATATGAAATTTAAGATTTGGTCAATATGAATGTCCCCCCAAATTAAGGATAATGTCTTGCTCATCTTTGCCTCCCCAGTACTAGTACACTGCCTGGAACAGTGCAATCACTCAATCAATGTTGGTGACTTCAGCTAAGCTACTGGTTGATATCTGAAGAAACTTCCAAGAGCTGAAGGACTCCATTTTTCTTCTTTTCTTTTCTCAGTTTTCCATTATGACCATTGACTAAAGAAAACTATTGGGAGGGCGGCCTTATGTAGGCTTATTTTTTTTTTTTTTGCACTTAAAATTAATTTAGCATTTACAGATCCTTAAAGGAAAGCATTTCCGCACTGTTTAGTAACCAGCTATATTCAGTGATACATAGATCAAATCTCTAAGAGGTCAAGAATACAGAATAAAATTAAGTACTTTTGAGTGCCTATTACGAATCTGGCATGGGCTAAGTACTTGAAAGAAGCAGAAGTGGTTTAAAGTTAGTTTATGCTCTTAAGGAATTTACACTCTGATTGGAAGCTAGAATATAAATACTATTGTTGGTTCAAGATCCTAGAAAGAGATAGGGGACGTGAACAGCATCACAGGTGGGGACAAGCGCTTTAGTACAGAGATTTGGAGCATAGGCTCTGAAACCACATTGCCTGGGTTTTCATCCTGACTGCCCCTTTAGCAAGTTACTTAAGTCTTCTGTGCCTCTCATACTTAAAATGTGGATTAAATGAATCAGTGTAGCACCTGACCTAGAAGTAAGATTATTATAATAGTGAATACACAAAAATTTGGAGTTGGGTCTTTGAGAGACTCAAAAAAATTGATGGGAGCAATTTCTATATTAGAATAGAGGGAGAAAGGTCAGAAAAAAAGGACTAGGGACAGATGAAGGCGGATACTGATTGCCAAAACATTTGAACTTCATTCAGTAGTAGAGAGCCACTGAACTTTTTAAATTGCTGAGGAGCACTATAAAAACAATGTTTTAAAAAACTCTAAACAGAAAGGTCTGGGATAGGGACAAGTGAAAGACTGAGGGAATATACTACCACCAATAGCTGACTTCTGTTAGATGTTTCCTATGACCTCTGTAACTACCAGAAATATGGTTATTTATGAAGATTATTACATTCCAGGTAATATGCTGAACACTTTATATGGGATGTTGTTATAGAACGAACTGTGTCTCCCCCAAAATTCACATGTTGAAGACATAACCTCCAATATGACAATATTTGAAGAAAGGTCCTTTAAAGAGATATACAAGGTGAAATGAGGACACAATTAAGGTTGAATGAAGTTAAGAGAAGGGGGTCCTAATCCAATCGGACTGGTATCCTTAGAAGAGTAAGAAATACTAGTGTGTATGCACACAAGAAAGACTACACAAAGACACAATGAGAAGGCCACCATCTGTAAGCTAAGGCCTTAGGATAAATCAACCTTGCTATTACATTGATTTTGGATTTTCAGCCTTCAGAACTATGAGAAATCAAATTCTTGTTGTTTCAGCCACCCAATCAAAGGAGTTTAGTTATAGCACTACTGGCAGACTCAGGCAATAGCTCATTTGACTTTTAAAACAGCCAGATGGGGTAATACTGTACTCTGATGATCATAGTGTTATCCATAAAGAAACCGAAGCGCAGAGACCTTGAAGTGAATTGCCTAAGACAGCTAATAAGTGGCAGTAAATAGGACTTATATTAAGGTATCTGACTACAAATACTCTACTTCAGCTGAAAACTGATAAATGGAAGGATTTACACACAAATGGAAAAAACATGACTTGGGTGTCTGACTGGATTCAGGCTAAAAAAAAAGGGGGGGGTTATCACCAGATGACTAAGACTTTAAGCCTTGGCGGCCACACAAGATAAATGACCAGCTTGTGTGTGGTGTATATGTGCATATTTTTTTTATTAAATATTGTGGAAAGGTTGTTCTGAGCAGAAGGGAGTTAGTTAATTGTGGATGAAGCGCGCTGGGAACCTAACAGTGGCTGACTTGGGTAAAATGAGTAAAGAGGTATGGTACTACTGGGGAGAAATAGCATTAAGTAAAAGGATACATTGGGGCAAGGGTAATGAGGGGGAAATTCACGTATGAATCATGAAGTCAGATCACATTTTATCCGTTTTAACTCTTATTGATTATAACAGTGTCTGGCTTTTAGAAGACACACAATAACATTTGGAAACTATAGGAAAGAACAGTGGAGAAACGTCAGATTTAATATTTGGAAGAAAGTAGCTATTTAGGTGTTTTGTTTAACAGGAGCAGTAACAGATTGAGACACAATTTTCCTTGACTCTTGACTGGGCTTTTTCTTTCTTCTTTTAGAAAGGCTTGTGAGCTAGCTCCAATTCCAATTAAACACAGAAAACGTGGGCACTGAAACAAATGATTTGGTATCTGATTTCCCACTGCTGTGTGTGTATGTCTCCGGGAACAATCAAACACAGGTGCAGGACTAACAAATCCACACGAGCTAACTACAGAGGACAGACCTTTAGCTACTCTGAATAAAACGAAAAGGTCTGAACACGATCAACAGTCGTGGCCTTTCTTGCTTTAGGGAGCTCTTAAATGCAAAGAGGGACTGTCCCCAGCAGAGACTCATCTGCCTTGAGGATGAAGCTACCATCATTCTCCAGGATCGGCGCTAGAAATCTCTACTATATCTCTGCCAAGAACACTAACTGATCCGCATTGCGCCTGCCCAACCCGCAGCAGCCTAGCTCTGCAGACATCCCACAACAGCAAAAAGGGATCTAAGAGGAAATCCGAATACGCGGCCGACACCAATTGCGCGGGGAGCCAAACATTTTATCCACCACAACTCACCGTATAGACTACAAATCCCAGCATTCACTCCTCGTGCGGAGCCAATGAGGAAGCTCCAAGTTCCTTCAGCCAATCACATCTTGACCCAGGGACATACCCCGACTGAATTCTGGGATTTGTGGTTTTCACGTGGCAACATTATTTCACCGCGGTGAAGGCAAAGTAGGCCACGCGTCCGATTCGAATGAAAGCTCTTTCTGATAATTCTTATGTTGGTCCCCACGCTACCCCTTAACTAGCATTACTCCTGGCGTTCTACCCCTTAAAAATCGTAAACCTTTCCTTTACTGACATACTGGAAAAAGGCAAGTTATTCTCAGATTACAGCACGCTTGTTTCCCCCACCCCCCGTCCTTTAACCGTCGCTTTCAAGTCTCGCGAGAACAAATCCTTTTGGTCGTTGTCATGCCTCCTGAAAGGCGGTTCACGCGAAGACTGACGGAGGCCTCAGCCAACAGAATTACCTTTTAACTAGCGTCTCAATCGCGTGCGTGGGGAGACCTCCATGAACCCTGACCTCGGCTCTCCGTGGCGTCCCGCGTTTGTCGCCCCCGCCCCCGGAGCGAAGGAGGCGGGTTTTGGCCTCTTGCCCGAGGGAGCGAGTGCGGTGAGAGTGGCAGCGAGACCGACCCGAGTGGAGGTGTCTGGCTCCCCGGAGAGGCCCTGCTGTACTCCTCGCTGCCCATGAGCTCGGTTCCCAGCGAGCGGCGCCGTCGTTAGGCCGACCCCGTAGCCCCTGCTTCCTCCAGGACAGGCCCACGCCTCTCCCAGGAGGGGGCAGCCCGTCGAGGCGCCTCCCTAGTCAGCGTCGGCGTCGCGCTGCGACCCTGGAAGCGGGAGCCGCCGCGAGCGAGAGGAGGAGCGCCAGCAACAGCGGCGGCGGCAGCGGCCAGCAGCACCAGCAACGCCAGCGGGCGGGATCGAGGCCGTCAACATGGCGAGCGCCTCGTACCACATTTCCAATTTGCTGGAAAAAATGACATCCAGCGACAAGGACTTCAGGTGAGGCCGAAATCCGACCGTAAACCCACCTTGGGGTCCCCTATCCGCGGTCCTGGCCCTCACACGGGCCTTGCCCCACCCCTTTGGCCTTAGCCGGTTTGTGAGCTTTCCCGAGCTCTCCGGCCCACCACCCGTTCCCTGATCCCGCAGGTTCCTTTTTCTCCCACCTTCCAACCCCCTCCCCCCCATTCGTTCCTCTAGGCCGTTGCCCGCTGCGGGTCCGAGGCGCCTTCTGCGTCCCCAGACGCCTCCACTGCATTCCCTGCTCCCCACCCCCAATCCCGAGACGTGGTTTTCGCGTCCCAGGTGTGTGAAGGGGCAGAATCACCCACCCTTGTGGGGAAGGGAGTTGCTCTAGGCTTGGAGACCAGGAGGCCCGGGCCTACCGGCCAGCCCGCCTTTACCGCTAGGCCGCCCTCCTGGCTAGGGCTGAGGCTTGCTGCCCTCTCCGGGCCCCAGCTGCCGCCTCTTTTCCCGCAGATGGAGTGGGCCTAGGTGCATTGAGCTTGAACGGTCTGCTTTATTTGAGCTTTCCACGGATTGTGTTATAAACTTTTTCTTTGGACAATTCCTTTCGTGAAGGTGGGAAGAAGGGGGTGGGGTGGGGTGGGGAGGGAGCCAGGATGAGGAAACTTGACTCGCAGGGTTTTCCCGCCAGCATCTCTGTCATTTTTCCTTGTCAGGTGAAAACTAAGCAGAAATTCGGGGTTTCATTCTCATTTCCTTATATCCAAAACTACTGCCAGAAAGGTGAATTTCTGGACCTTAAACGTAAAGCAAGCAAATGGCTTTTACTGATGGAAGTTTTCAAAAATGAGGGTGGTGAATATGAGGCTTTATTATGGCAGTTCTGTTCTAGGAGACTAGGACTGACTGTTCCAAACCTTGGTAATATGTATATTGAAGAATTGTTATATTTTTACGGATTATCTTGGCCTCTCTCTCTCTCTCTCTCTTTTTTTTTTTTTGTGCTACGGTGGTGGTTACATTCCTTTCCCACCTCCTGTCCCATCACAAAATAAATAAGCTCCCAGTCTAAAAAAAAGCTTTTTTATTTTTTTGATATTTGTTTTATTCTCTAAGGCTTGGTGGTTGTATTTTGTGAGCATTTTAAAGGAAAGAACAGATATCTTCAATTAAAATTGAAGCTGAAGCCTATTTTATTTTGTTTTATTTGTGTATATATGCACAGTACCCTTTAATACCTGAATGCCTGAAAATGCCCAGACCACATCTGCCATCCTATTTGTGAAAGGAGAAGCATGAAAACTGTAATAATGATATTCCTAACTAAATTGATGTGTCAATGTATTCACATGGTCAGTGAAATACAGTTTTGGTTCTGTGACTTCAAAGCCAGAAATGATTTTTAAAAAGTTTTGCTACCTAGGAGGTTATTAATTATTGCATTTGAAAATTTTAAAATCCAGTTTGCTAATATGAAAAATTTTAGTGTTGTGATTTTTTGGAAGAGACATGGCTCTCTTTGGTTATTTTGGTATTTTAGATTTGTGTAGATCAAAATCAAGGTTTATTGGAGGAAATAAAAGTTTTGCTTTTGTTTTTGTTTGTGTGTTTTTTAAGGATTAGAATGCCGTTTACTTTGGAGCTTTGCTTGCTCCCAGTGCAAGACACTGAAATTTAAATACACATTTGAGTGGAATATATATACACATATATATGAACTTTCAGCTGTGTAGAATGTGTGGTGTGATTCCCCGTCCCCCCCCCCACCATTTCTGTCAATTTGGCTCATTCTGTAAAAGTACTAAATATCGTTCTGATTGTATTCAATTTCATACTAAAGATACCACTTTGCTGTAATACTGTAATAGCATGATTTTGTTCAACTGGGTAGACTTGTGTATGGGTAGTATGCTTAGAATAAACAAATCAAGCCCTGTTTATCCTGCTTATGTGATTCTTGACTCAAGCTACTTAATTTCTTGTAAAGATCTATACATGATTTTGTTTTCTTTTTTAAATAAATTATATGAAAGAAATAATGCTTTGATATTAAGCTGTAGTCAGTGTTGAACTTGATAAGAATTATCTACCAGGTTCAACTAGAGTAAATCAAAACATTGCTGGGAAGATTGTTCTAAAAGTGTAATATTGATATATTTCTAATAGTTGATAAAGAAGTTAAGTGTATGAACTGTGACTTCCAGCTATTTGGCATTTTTAAGGTATTTTTATTAACTGTGTTTTAAAGACTTGTAATATGCTGAAGCCATCCAGTTAACAGACAAGTCTTTGAAACTACTCTGTATATTATTACAGATAGAGATTAACTAAAATAGTGAGCATTTAAAATCAAGTATTTTGAATATTTTTCTGTATAATTTTAGTATAGGCATTTATTTGAATATATGTGTTCTATTTTAAAATTATCCCTTCTACTCTCTCATTTGGAATTTATTTTGGTGTAAATATCAGTTAGTTGCTATGTATTTTAAAATAGCTACTAACAAAGATCTTGAGGACAGAGTTAATATTATAGGATATCTAGTGCAAACCACTCTACTTATGCTAAGGGGAGACGAAAACAGTAATATATCTAAAAGGAGAAAAAAAATTACTCCTCTCATGCTAGACGCCAAAGAGACTATGACCTACCGGTTACAAAATATAGGCTCTAGTCATATGTTCTAGTGTAGTAGGATTCTTTCTTGGGAACTGTGAGATCTTGGGGAGACTACTTAATCTGGGACTAAATTTTTACTTTGAGAAACTTGTTCTTGGGTGATTACAAAAGGTCCCTTAGAGGCCTGAAATTTTAGGTGTCTGAATAACTAAATAGTCCATTCATATGAAGAAAGTAAAGAAATGGGTACAGGCTAAAAATTTTTCAGATGTTAGCATTTTTAAAAGAATCATTTTGTAGGATTTAAATCATGGGTTCAATTTATTGGTGAGGGACATTTGATGTCCTTTTTCTTTCATGTTTTAGTATTCTGCACTCTTTGAAGGCAGTATTTTAAGGTTTACTAACTAGTAGGTAGGTCATTCTGTAGATACCAGAATGAAAACTTTAATGTGCATAAACCATGTGAATGCTCTATTTATGAATATTAATATTGAAAATTGGGTTGCGATAACTTAAGTTTTGCTCATATGTTTTACCACCAATTGAATTTAAGTATTCCAAGGACTAAGGAGCTGAAGAAAATTTACCACTGTTCTATCTTTATCTACATAGTAGTTAACATTAATGCTTACTGTCAGCTTTATATACTGGATCCTGTTTATCCTTATAACTCTAGTAAAGTGGATACTAACAATCTCTATTCCAGTCCAGGAAACTCAGGTGTGATGGTGTTCATTAAATACTTGTCCAGGGTGAGTTAGACATTAGATCTGGGGTTTCCAGACCACCCCCAACTCCAACCCCAACCCCCAGAGCATGAACTCTTTTTTTCTTTTTTTTAAAGATTTTATTTATTTATTTGACAGAGATCATAAGTAGGCAGAGGCAGGCAGAAAGAAAGAGGGGGAAGCAGGCTCCCCACTGATCAGAGAGCCGGATGTGGGGCTGGATCCCAGGGCCCTGAGATCATGACCTGAGCCAAAGGCAAAGGCTTAACCCACTGAGCCACCTAGGTGCCCCCAGAGCTTGAACTCTTAGCTACTGTGTTATGTTACTTCTCCAGGGTTTTGACTAGGGGACATTAAGACTAAACTTAAATTTCATTTCCCTCTCAGGCTTATGGAGTATTTTGTGCTAGAAGACACTTTAAGTAATTCCCTGAGAGGGACTGCAAAATGTTTTAAGATCTAGTGCTTGCCCTCAGTAATATTTACATACTTGTTGAATGGTTAAGACACTTTTACAAAAAGATAACCCAGAGCAATATGTAGTTCTCAGCCTTAAGTGGTAGAGAAGATAATAGCAAGGAGATTCCTGTTGGTGGAGTCATGTGAGTTAGGTCTTGAAATTGTAGGTAGAGAAAATGAGCGCAAGTGTGAAAGGTCACTATACAAGTAGATAATCTTGACTGGAGCTGGTTGTTTAGGGAACTGCTTGAGGCTACGTAGGGAACTTGTTTTACCAAACTGAGTCCTCCACTGTTTTTGGACTTGCGGGTTCTCAGGTGATAGTTTTAGTTGGATTTTAATTACAGAGTTAAGAGAAAAACATGTAACGATTTTGAGAAATTTCTTCCAGAAACCATTGTAAAAATCTGTCAGTCAATTTTTTAAAATACCTTTTGATACAATCTTAAAATAATTACTACATTGCAGAATTTCCTAGCTTGATAATGGTTTATGTTACCAAATTTATGTATGTATGTGTTTTGGATATTAGCAGGTATTTTCTTCTTGGAAACTGTAAATGCTAATAAAAAAAATCTCAGGCCTCATATGGAATTCACTTTCAGAGCTGGAAGGGACTTCAGGATCCTATAACATAGCTGAAAGTAATGTATGGGTATTTATAATAATGTAACAATAAATACTAGTGAAGTTCTCTGTACTACCTGTGCTTGAAGAAAAGTAAGTTTTAATAAGAGGAAATCGATTTGTAGAGTTTTTAAGAAGGTGATTTCTGGGCACCCTTTAGGTACTTTGCAGGTTGATGGCGGTAAGTTACTGGATTTCACTTACGTGATTTTTCTTGATAAAGCTGTACTGCTAACTGATTATCAGCAATGATGAAGGCTCGCCATTGAAAAATAGACTTCATTGAGGAAACTGGAAAGAAGAGGACTAAAAATTAATTTTACTTACATGAACAATATTAAGACCCTCCTAAATTAATACTCCAAGGGAATAAATTAGAAAAAATGAGATAGTGGTGGTGTGTGTATGAGTTCCTTGAAAGATAATGAACTCACTGGATGGTGCAGTTGGCTCTTAATCACTTAGATTTCTGTTAGTAATGGGTAAAATTGTGCTTGTATCCGTATGAGGGGAAGGGTTGTGAGACTGCTCATTGTGCAATACAAGGTATCAATTTCTGCCATTGTTTCTGCACATCTCTGCATTGGATTTACTAA